GGTTTCAAAGGGACCAAAATCTTCAGCTTCATAGACGAGGTCATAATTTGCCATGGAAGCTGAGGCAGAGATCGAGTAAGGAAGTGAAGAAGAGAGTTTATGTTTGTCCTGAGCCCTCCTGTGTCCATCACGATCCTTCAAGAGCGTTAGGCGATCTTACGGGAATTAAGAAACATTTCTGTAGGAAACATGGAGAAAAAAAGTGGAAATGTGATAAATGTTCTAAAAAATATGCTGTTCAATCCGATTGGAAAGCTCACTCTAAGATTTGTGGTACTCGGGAGTACAAATGTGATTGTGGAACTCTATTTTCCAGGTATTGAAAACGATTTAAAGATTCGATTTGTATTGGGTAAAATTGGATATTTTTGTGGGATTGATTGTCAATCTTATTCTTTTTTTTCTTTTTCAGGAGGGATAGTTTTATCACTCCACAGGGCTTTTTGTGATGCGTTGGCGGAGGAGAGTGCTAGAGCTCAAACTCATCCTCAGCCTCAGAATCAGAATCAGGCGGTGGCGAACCCCAGTTCGGAATCGGACCCGAAAGTTCAGGCTGTGGATTCATCAGCACCACCTGCGCCTGCACCAACACCGCAGCGGCACAGCATCAGCACCAGTGCAGGTTTCAGCTTCTGCTCCAGCTCCAACTCCAGCTCCACCAGCTCTGCCTCAGTCAACTAGTGTGATATCCTCTTCAGTTTTGCCAATTCGAAGTTCTGGTAAGTATTATATATTACCGAATTTGGAAATTATCTATTTTGTCGGTTCTTATTTTGTTTAAATTAAACAAAGACAATTTTTTTTTGTTGTTTTTATGTCTTTGGATGAACTTGGAGTGTAGTCGTTTTTTGTCTGTTACTGGTCTTTGTTGTTTTCTGGAGGTTTTAGTGACTGGGCTTTTGAGGCTGGGATTTGGGAGGGGAAGGGAAGGAGTTAAAATAAACTCATTTTCTAAACTGTGAGATTCAATTCGGGCAATCTTGATGAAAGACCAAAGTGATTCAAAAGCTAAAGAAAAGAGAAGTGGATTTAGAGAAAGGAAACCATTATTGATTCTGCTTTTTGCTTTAAAAGTTCTTCCATAAAGATAAGTCTTTTAACTTTCCATGCCTCTATGTTTCAGACTTTTTTAAGTCAGGTCCCCTAATGTTCTATTTCCCTTCTATCTTGGTTCTTGTTATAGAGTTGCCAGAAAATCCCACTCCTATTGTGGAAGACGCTCCGGTTCCAGCACCAGCTCCAGCTGGACTAAATGGAAGTTGTAGCACTAGCACCAGCTCAGGTAGCAATGGTGGGAGCAGAAGCAGTGTATTTGCTAGCTTATTTGCATCCTCAACTGCATCTGCGAGCTTACAACCTCCACAACCTCCGGCTTTCACTGACTTAATTCGAGCTATGGGTCGACCAGATCGTCCAGCTGACCTTGCTCCATCTACATCCACTGAACCAATTTCTCTATGCCTCTCAACAAACCATGGCTCATCAATATTTGGGACTGCAGGGCAAGAGCGCAGGCAGTATGCACCACCACCACAACCTGCTATGTCTGCCACAGCACTACTGCAGAAAGCTGCTCAGATGGGAGCAGCAGCAACCAATGCATCCTTGCTTCGTGGCTTTGGTATAGTCTCATCATCTTCATCATCTGAACAGCAAGATAGTTTGCAATGGGGTCAGAGACAAGTGGAGCCTGAGAATGCCTCTGTTCCAGCAGGGCTCGGACTTGGGCTTCCTTGTGATGGAAGTTCAGGATTAAAGGAATTGATGATGGGAACTCCTGTATTTGGTCCTAAGCAAACTACTCTTGATTTCCTTGGATTGGGGATGGCTGCTGGTGGCAACCCCAGTGGTGGCCTGTCAGCTCTAATTACCTCCATCGGAGGTGGACTTGATGTTGCTGCAGCGGCAGCCGCAGCAGCATCTTTTGGAGGTGGGGATTTTACTGGGAAGGACATTGGACGGAGCGCATGACCTGGGAGAAACAAGAATTATTCTTCTCCATTTGACTTTGGTGAAAATACACATTGTACAGGGCCATGGTATTGAACTATTTCGAGGTTGCAGAAGAAAACGATTGTAAGATATGATTTTCCATAACGAGTTGCCATTGTGGAGGTTAGGATCAAGCCATCAAGAGGCAGTTGGGGTCTTTTTTATTGTTCTGCTGCCTTCTATGTGACAATGGCGAAAATGACTTTGCTGTGCCAGCATAGCCCTTTTAGTAAAAGGTAAATCCAAGAATCAGATGTGTTAGGATGATGGATGTGTAAGTTTGATGTAGCTGGAAAGAAAAAAAGGGGAAAAGGCACACCAACATCTCTGCAAAGAGATTTGGTATGTGGAGGCATTCCGACATTCTTTGTGTCAGGTTTATCAAAGCTTGGAAGAAACATCAACAAAAACAGCAACGGGATGTGTTTTGGCTATTTAGACTTGTAGCTCCAGGCATAGACGGATATGTAGTGGGAAATTAGCAGTAAAGTGGAATACCAACGTGGACTGGCAAATTTCTGAAAATGGAAGGATTTTGGTTGATCTGATCAGTGGACTGGAATTAAGGTTCCACTTTGTTTGAACCAAGTCAACCTTAAAACACTCTGTTATTATATTTGCAATTAATTTAAATTTGTTGTTATGTTTATTTTGCTGTTTTCCATTTTCTTTGAGGGATCAGGTCTGTTTGTGGTGGAACCCTGATAAAAAGAACAGGAACCTAAGCTTTCATTCCAAGCTTACAAAATTTATGCCTGGACACTTTTAGGAAAGCTCTGTAAAAACCATCTCACGATCCCATCAAAGGAAAAAAGTCGAAAACTCGGAAATTGGAATGTAACTCTCAAATCCTGCCTGGTTTCTTTGTTGAAGAGCAAAAGCCCCTTTTTGTTCCTTTGAGATAAGGTAGGAGTAAATGTAGTCAGAGAGAGAGGTTGGCAGAATTGAATTGCATTGTCACTGGACCACAAAGAAGAGAACAGTAAGTGTGGCAATGTAATGTAGAGTAATTTTCAGATGTGCACAATAGGGGGATAGGAAATCAATTGCAGATATTATCGGGTCCCCCTTTCTTTTTCTCTCTCAGGTCTTCTAAAGACATAAACCCCATGAAAATGTCATCTCACTGATCCATCGTAGCAAGGTTTTAAATGCTAAGTTGTTGGTCGACAAGCGGGGGAAGGGGCATGGTCCCTCGGTTCCAACGCCGAAAGTCCAAATCTGATTTTGTCTTTGGTCCTTGTCGTTTTCCAGTTTCAGGGAAACCCCTGCCCTCTTACATGCTCTTACTCTGTATTTAGCCGCCATCCTTACGTCCTTAGCTGTCTTTCTCTTCTTCTCCACGTCTGTTTCCCTTGTATTGTTTTACTGCAATTTGATGAATTTTTTAATAATTTAATCTCGGTAGTGGTTAAGTTAATCTAAGCATAACACATGCCAGATTTAAGAATTTGTCAAGTTGTGTTGCTCTTTCTTTTTAACTATTTGTTCTTTGCAGTCTTATTACAAGTTTTCAGTCAGGTCACACTATTGATTTCACATGCTTTTTTACTTTGATTAAGTTGAAATTGAAATAAAAGAAGGGGAAAAAAAGAAGAAGCAAAATTGTGATTCCCTTTTTGTTTTTGAATGGAATTTACTAATTTCTGACTTTGTTTTATGTTAAGAAGAAAATTGTGTTATGCATGTTTGTTAGATGTAATTAGGCTTAGGCCCTTGATTGTGAAAATCCAATAAAAACTTTTTTTATATAGTTTAAATCTAGCATTATTGAAGAGTTTTTTTTTTGGGAAGTAAACAGTGGAAAATAGAGGTTCAAACTTTAACCTTCAAATTATCCAGTAGAGAGTAACATTCATCAGGTCAAATTTGAGTTGCTTTTATTTGAATTTTTTTTAAAAAATTATTTATATGAATAAATATAAAGACGATAGAATTAATTAACTAAGTCAAGATTTTAAAAACATACATGAATATATTTATTGGATGCATTATATGATACAACAAATTCAAATAAACATGATTAACATATTTAAGTGGACATCATAAATTAGATAAATAAATCATATTTTATTAATTTACATGATAACATGATTAATTAAAATAAATTAAATATCTTATATTCGAGTTAAGCGTGTGCTTTGTATCTTAAGTGTGAAAACACGTTCAAAATAAAAAATATGATAATCTTAAAATCAAATTCATAAATTTTACATTATTCTGGTATCATGTTAATCAATCGTGTTTAAAATTTTTAATTCTAATGTAACTTAGTAGTAGTTATGTATTGGGACCAGCAAAATAGTACATAACTATTACAAATCCATTATTATTTCACATTGAATGATTCCCTTAATTATAAAAATGTCACTTGTCTGGTTGTTCCTGGATTTTAGCTGGCAGCATCAACTAAAAAAGGAAAATAGTCCAATCACTATTATTAAGCTATGGGCTTAACAAATTTACTTCATGATTTATCCCTCCCCCTTAATTTCTTCTTAATTGAATGATATAAGATGTATTCAACCTCCAAAAAAAGAGAAAAAAATGAACTCCAAGCTCTTGTACTGCTCCTAATTTAAAGGCAGGATTAAGATAGATTCAATCAGCAATCTCTATTTCTCTGTCATTTACAAATTGATTTTGAAGATGAAACCTTTGTCATAAGCATGTTGTCTGGTATTATAACAGACACTTTGATTAGGTTCAACTCTTTCAGCTTTCTAAATTAAGTGCCAAGGCAGTGAAAGTCTCAAACAATCCAAATAATAGGAAACAAACTGATGATACTTAGAAACACATAGAACCGTAGCCTTTTACACGTTCAATACAACGACAGTCTACCAAACCACAGAATCATTTATAAGTGTTATGCCTGGGTGAACCAAAGTTGTCTCCTACTATCAAGAATGTTAGCAGTAGTTTCTTTCTCAACTGCTAAACATGGATTTTAGTGACCAAAGTGTCTGTATAAATTGGTCCTCGAGCTTTTGTGTGTGTGTGTGTGGATGGACATGCCCAGAAACAAGACGCAAAAAAGTCGCTGCAGGTTTTTCTGGTTTCTTCTTTTCTTCTTGTTCATTAATGGAGCTGTTCTTGAAGCATGGGCTAAAGGGAGTGTTACAAGATATTATGAACTTAAGGTGATTCTTGATGCGATCCTGTGTTAATAGCAATTAATAGGGGAAAAAAACAGCTAAGTCGTCGTGGATAATGTAGGATTGATGCTTCCCCACAGCATTAATATCAAGCTGTCGATTCATTGATTAAGCAGGGCCCCCCGCCTCGGTATCAACTTTTCATTCCGTTTTTCAAACGAAAAATTCTCTGCAACAATTTTCAAAGTAAAAAGTTGTGGCTGAGACTATAGGTTTTTTGGGTTATGCTATTCCTTATACTAATATGGAAGTCGATGTGTCTGGCAATGTCACTACCCAGAATAACTTAAATATGCTAGTCATGTGAAAATTATATATCAGATGCCAGAGGTAATGGCAGTTTATCTAGAAAATATTTCTGTTAAGTGTCACTCATGATGTCCAATTTCAGCATCTTGTCAGTTGTGAATTGTCCTAGAGATTGGAATGAATATCTCAGTGAATGAACAGGTTCAAACAGCTTCTATTACGAAACTGTGCAAGACATCAACTGTTGTCAATGTAAATGGGATGTATCCTGGACCTAAGATTTCTGCTCGAGAAGATGAGAGGGTGGTTGTCAAGGTCACCAATCTTACTCCATATAATATTTCAATTCACTGGTAAGCAATTCAGTCAGTAAATTTGGTTCTCTTTTTTTCCCTCTAGTACAGCACGTCGCTACTAAGTATAGCAGTAACATTTATTGATTTGGTTTCTGATGAAAGGCATGGAGTTCGCCAAAGGCTAACTTGCTGGTCTGATGGCGCTGCCTACATAACACATTGTCCAGTCCAGGCAGGCCAGAGTTTCAGATACGGGTTTACCTTGCTCAACCAGCGAGGCACACTCTTCTCTCACGCTCACATATCGTGGCTAAGAGCAATAGTTCATGGTCCCCTCATTATCTACCCCAAGCAAGGTGTTAGCTATCCGTTTGAGCCTCCCTTTGAAGAGCATGTGATCGTTCTAGGTATTTAATTTCTAGTACTTCTTTGCCTATTTTTTATCCACCAAGCTACTCCTTAGGCTGCAGGGGTTTTTACAAATATGTTTCAGAAATTTGCAATGCTTTTGTCGGCGTGTTGTTTTGATGGGAGAGTATTGGCTTCGAGACATCCAGGACTTGGAAAGACATGTGAAAGAATCAGGAGGAGGTCCCCCAGGCTCAGATGCCTACATTTTGAATGGTCATCCTGGTCCACTCCATAACTGCTCCAGAGACGGTATCATCTTTAATTCACTGAACCAACATTGTTAAATCTTTCTTTGCTGTTAAATGTTGATATGAAGTGGTTCCTTTCATTTAATTTTATGCAGATGTGTACACTATTAATGTTACAAAGGGGAAGAACTATCTTCTCAGAATCATCAATGCAGCTCTTAACATGGAACACTTTTTTGGAGTGGCTAACCATACTATGACTTTTGTAGAAACGATGGAGGGTACCCAAAACCCTTCAACACCTCCTTTCTGATGCTGACTCCGGGTCAGACTGACAATGTTCTAATTGAAGCAGACCAGCCCATTGGCTACATGGCCATGGCCCCTTACATGAGAGCAAAAAACGTGCCCTTCTTGAATAAAACATCTTATGCAATCCTCAATTATGTTAAACACACCAAGTCAATTGCACCGCCAACCACAGTGGAAGTAGACAAATTAGCTCGAAAGTCATGTTCAAGAAGGTCGATGATACTTCATGAACCCATCCTACCTAACCGAAATGACACTGAATCTGTTCAAGCATTCGCAGACCAGGTCAAAATTCTATATCCGAACCAACATTGGTCTCCAATTGACGTTCCTTTGAAAATTGACAAAAGTTTGTTTTTTGCAATCGGGCTTAACGGGTTCAGCTGCAACTCATCTGATGCTGATAGATGCCAGGGCCCTAATGGGGGAATTTTCGCCGCTTCTGTTAACAACATAACCTTTAGAAGACCAAGGGTGTCACGTTTGAATGCTTACTACAACAACTTAGGAGGATATTGCAGTACAGATTTCCCTGACAAGCCTGAAAAGATGTATGATTTTGTGAACGAGGCTGCCAATAACATTGGCGTAGATACACAGCCAGCTATTGGGACTCGAGTTAGTGTCCTAGGGTATGGTTGGGCTGTCCAAGTCATATTTCAAGACACCGGCACGGTGGGAACCGAGAATCACCCTATACACTTTCATGGCTTTAGCTTCTACCTGTTAGGCACAGGGCTTGGCAATTTTAACTCCAGCACTGCAGTTCTTAACTTCTACGATCCTTCCTATAGAAACACTGTTGGAGTGCCAGTAGGTGGATGGGCTGTTATTCGATTCAGAGTTGACAATCCAGGTGCATTTCCCAGCTAAACCTTCAAAATTTCATGCAATATTTTGGTGATGTATAATCATCTTGATTATCTAAACTGAAATGGGCTCTCTTTTTTTTTTTCTTTTTCTTTCAGGAGTTTGGTTCATGCATTGCCATCTAGATGTGCACACAACATGGGGACTCTATGGCTTTTCTAGTGAAGAATGGGAAAGGCAAAATGCAAACTTTGCCACCTCCACGTCCTGACCTTCCACCATGTTGATAAACTTCTAGTCTGTAAAAATCCAATATCTGTCTCTAGTTGTATGTATCTAGTATTTTGAATATCTGCCAAGTTATGTGAATGTGTATTTGATTAGTTGGCAACAGTGACAAGTCATGTAATTATAAGGATTCTTTGCAGTAATTATCCAATCCATAAGATGTTCATCTCTTATTTCTGTTGGCCTTAATAGAATGTTAGAACCATCAAAGGCTTCAAACTACAAAGGCATTTGCAAATTTGTTGCATCTGTCAGACACAAAATCTCTGTTGAGAGACTCGTGTCTTCCCCTACTTTATCTGTTTGGTCACGGTATTGGAGAGGCCCAGTTCAGGTTAATTAGAGCTAGAGCAAAGTCCAATTTCTGGCCGAAGAAAGCATTAATGGATTTCAAATTTCAATGCCTCTCATTGAAACTTGCATTAGAACTTGATCCCTCAGAGCATATTTGGGCCATCAGGAAGAAAAAGATCAATTTCAGGATGGAATCATTTTGTACTTTTGTAGGATAATCGTCGCAGAGCCAAATGGCCCATATCCCCTCCCCCCATCATGGGCATATGCCACTGAAAAAAATTGATCCTTTGTCTTAGGAAATAAACCACAGAGAGATAGGAATTGCCTTTCTCTTATTCTTTTTTGGTGGCTTTAGTAGGCCCGTCTGAGAAAACAAATTTTTTGTATTATGGAATTGAAAATGAAGGATTTGTAGTTTTTTTTTTTTACTTCAATTTGAATAAAAAATGCTCAGAAAAACATTTCTCCTTTTTTTTTTAAACTTATTCTTATACTTTATCCAAATACTTAACCAACCCTATGAATAAATAATTAATAAACTCCGCATGTATTTCTAATGATTTTAATTTTTTTCATGACATTTTGTGATATTTTTAGTAGTCTAATTCTTCGTAAGAACAGAAGTTATTCATAAAAAAAAAAATCCATTGAGAAAAATAAAACTAAGAGATGTCATATAAAAAAAAGTTAAAAATGGCAAAAAATAATTTGAATAAAGTTTATCCATAAAAATTTAATTCTGTAATTAAATCTATGTTCCTTTCCTAGTTAACCTACAAACACAATGTAAATTATTTGGATTCAAAGTTAAAAAGAAAAACACAAAAACGTCTTTTATCAAAGACTGGTCCGATTTCCATACAGATAAAACCTGAACGTTGTCGACGAACATCTTATCCAGACACGGCACCAAGATTTTCACTTGCCAAACACTGAACTTCTCGAACTTTGTAACATCGGCTCCACCTCCACCATGCACTTGCCACCAACACTGCGAAAATGGACGGACCTCCTCGCTCCTCAACTCGCCGCACATCGACCGTACATTTGTGCTCTAACCCCACCTGCCCTTTAAATTAATTAATCAGGTCACCAACCTACCACTGACCGCCACCTCATATTTTCTCACCCTTGTGGGGCCCATGCTTCTAAACCAAACAATTAGGAGATTTTTAATCTATTTTTTTTTAAACGGAAGTAAGAAGACCCTTCGATGTTGTCACCCGCTTGCAGATTTGAATTGAACTTAACGAATTCCCAAAACGCCCAACAATTGACGCTGAAATGGCCGTTCCCTCGATAATTTCAGGGGTTATTTCAGTCCATTAATCTAAGGCAACGTCGAGTTTGGTGCCCAAAATATATCACGTGGTATTCTTTCCTTGTAATAAGTGAAGCTTACGCGCGAGCACCACATCCAGACACAGAGAGAGAGAGGCAGAGAAGAAGCTCCGGGGACCGTAAGAATCGGATCCGGGGTATCTTCGGAGCTTCAATCCAGGAAGAGTCGAAGCTTTCGGTTCTTTCTCTTTCTTTCTCATAGGATTTTCAAATCGATAATAGCTTTAGCTAAGGTTCAGGTATCGAATAATGGTAGATTAACCGCCAGAAGCCACTTGAAAACAGGTTCATTTTCACATTTTTATTTTATTTTATTTTATTTCCCTTTTTGCATTTGGTTTCCTTTTTAATTCGATTTGTTTTGTTGGGTAGTTGTGGAACGTTTCAGTTTTTGTGAATTGTCTTTCTCAGTATTGCGATTCTTCAAATTTAGCTACGTTTTGTCTTCATTAAGAAAAGGTGCAAACTTTTAATGATGTATTGAGCTATGTTATTATTTTAGGTGATTTAAACATTTTTTGTTCTTTCTCATTTTGTTCGCGTTTTTTTCATCTTAGTTACATGCCTGAATAGACAATTTTAAACTATATACCTCTGTTTGGTGTGCTATTTTCAGGTGTTGAAAGAAATATGCTTCATTGGAGAAAAACTAGTTTTAATTGCTGATAGGTGTAAATGTATAACCTTTTATGTGCTATTCAAGGTTCAACATTCTCTCAGAGAGTGATTGAAATAAGGGAACTTGATTTAAGGGGTTAAGATGCCACCTGTTGTGCTTTCTAAGCTAAACCCGGCAATATATACTGGTTTTCAAAGGGCAATTTCAGGAAGACAAGTTCGGTTGTGCAATCCAACGAGTTCACTACTTAGACAGCGCACATTGTTGTCTGCCAATTCAGGGTTGACTCAGTTTTTGCCTTATTCGATTAATTTGATATCGGATAGTAGGTTTGTGCTGAACCAGCTTTGTACTAGGGCAAAAACGATGGCTGTGTCTGGTTCCAAGGCTGTTTTTGGAGATGTTTATGTGGATGAGTTAGTAGCAAGTTGTGGGAATGGCTTGGACTCCTTAAAACCTACTGGGGTTTATTTTCCTGATAGAAGTCATGGCAGTTGCCAGAAAGTTAGCATGACTTTGAGAAAGCGAGAACAAACCAACAATCGTTTTGTGTATGGATACTATGTTTATGATGCAATGCAGAGAAATACCAAATATAACCCGCCTTTTGGTCCAAGGATCAAAAGTATTCACACCTCATCTTTGTTGTGTTCATGTGCTGGGGCTGCTCATGATGTGTCATTTGATGGCGGTTCTAAGGATGAGCAGATTGCAAGTTTGCCTGAACAGTATGTCCTCTCATCTTCTATTTATTTTCATATGTTGCTTTTTGTCCATTTTTGCTTTTTTCCTTTTGAACATGATCTTAAAAGAATGGCCTACAATATGATTTAAACTTTTCTACTCTCAGGCGTTTTTAAGACACTATCTTTGCTTGTCCTCAATTTCCATAATTTGCTTCTTTGGTATTGATTTCAGAGCTATTCCTGGTGAGAAAACCTTGACATTAGTTTCAGGGTCATGTTATCTGCCGCATCCTGCTAAGGAAGAAACAGGGGGAGAGGATGCTTATTTCATTTGTGCCAATGAACAAGCCATAGGTGTAGCTGATGGCGTAGGTGGCTGGGCAGAAGTTGGCATTGACGCTGGAGAATTTGCCCGTGAACTTATGTCTAATTCAGTGACAGCAATTCTGGATGAACCCAAGGGTTCCATTGACCCAGCCAGAGTTTTAGAGAAGGCCCATTCAAGCACAAAATCACAAGGATCCTCAACAGCCTGCATCATTGCCCTTACAGACGAGGTTTGTTTACACTTTCAAAGGCTAGGCTTGCACATACTTATGTTAACAAGCACAGGGGGAGATGATCTTTAGATGAATTTTCTTTGACATATGTTGATGAGGCCTAGGTCTGCTGGGATGTGAATTTTCAAGGAAACAGAAAGTTTTCTCAAAATTCTACTTCATTATTAACCTTAAATTGATTTTTATAGCTGGAAAAGTATGATGAACTCCACCTGATGTACTCCACAGATTTTGGCTGGATAAAGTAAGCTTCTTACTGTTGTTGATCTCGAGGATGGTTACAACAGTTTAGTGCGACCAAAAATAGTAAATTTGGTTTATTTTGTATGTGAACCATTTGAACTTTGTATCTGTGTATTTTCACCCACAAAATCCCTGCCCACCTCCAAAACAAAAAGAAAGAAAGAAATGAAATTCCTTTTGTTGAGATATCATATAATTTATTTTCTTCACAAAAAATGTCTAAGTCTTGGAATGGTTGTATGATGCAAAGTTTCTCCATTTCTGAAAATTGAAGTCCTTGCTACATTATTGATTTTCTGTGAACTTAGCAGGAAGACTTTTTGACTGCATGAACGTATGGAAATGTTTCTTCTTCTTTTGGCTAGAATGGGTCTATAGTGTTTAGGGTACTGTATTTTTGCTGCATACACCTATGCTTGGAGCTCAGCCAATGTTCTTGAGTCTCAGCTTATGATTTCTTTTCTTGTTTACATTCATCTGTTTCCATATCTCCATCTGTGTCTTAGGGCATCAACTGCTATCATTTGGTTCCATGTCTTTATACTTGAATAGACCTTATTTTAAGTGGCTCTAAAAAAATTATCTATAGTTTGATTTTAAGTGCACTTTGGATAGCTTGGTTGCCTGCGTCTAAAAAGACCAATATGATTTTAGCAAGCAGAGCATGTGCCTTGTGGTTTCATCTACTTTACTTCTCGCGACAGGGAATACATGCTATAAATCTGGGGGACAGCGGCTTCATGGTGGTTAGGGATGGTTGCACTGTCTTCCATTCCCCAGTGCAACAACATGGTTTCAATTTTACATATCAATTGGAGAGTGGTAATAATGGTGATCTGCCGAGTTCTGGTCAGGTTAGTTGATGGGTTGTTGCTCCACCATGACACAAGGGATTAATCATGGTGTTTCTTTGTTCTTTCTTTTTTGACCATAAAACAATATATGTGAATTGCATGGAAAATCCTGACTTTGTTCCCGCTCTTTTTAGCATCTTGTATTGTTAAAGGTTAATTTTGTATTTTAATAAACTAAAATTGTTTAAACTTGATCATTGGCCCCATTTGGCTGCATTTCTTAAATGGCCTGCTGCTCAGAGTTACTGTAGAAAATATGTTCATATCTGCTCTCTTGTGATTTAGATTTTGAATCTCTTGTGAGCCAGATGTTTTCTATTTTCTTTTCTTTATCTAGTTCATGTTTGATGAGCTGACGAAATGGGATGTTCTCTTCCAAAGAAGATTTGAAAGACTTCAGTAGGACCTTAAATCAAATTGTAGCACTTAAAATGATTTCTACTAGTCACAACTCATTGCCCCTGACAGAGCTATCATTTTGGAATAATATGCCCAGGTTTTCAGAATTCCTGTTCTACCAGGTGATGTCATTGTCGCTGGAACAGATGGGTTATTTGATAACTTGTACAATAATGAGGTTACTGCTGGTGTTATTCATGCTTTAAGATCTGGCTTCAGTCCCGAAGTAACTGCTAAGCAGATAGCTGCTTTGGCTCGTGAACGCGCAGTGGATAAGCACCGGCAGACACCATTTGCCAAAGCTGCTCTAGATGCTGGTTTTCGCTATTATGGTGGGAAGCTTGATGACATCACTGTTGTTGTGTCTTATGTTACTAGCTCTGCCAAAGTGTGAGTCTTCTCCAAGTTAGTGATCCTAGTGACATTGTATATGTTGAAAGAGTAGTTTTTATGGTGGCTTGTAGGGTTGGTAAGCTCATTACTTTCAGTTTTTGGCAATGAAACCTAGTGAAAGAAGTTGAATTCATATTAGTTCCACAATTTCCTCTTGGTTTACAAATTTTGATCCTTGCTGTTGTCAAATAAGTAATTCACTGTTGATTCCCCACTTTGACAACTTTGATGGATTGTTTTTTGCTCATCAGGAGGAAAAGAAAAGCCATGAGATCATTCTTCTGAGAGCAGTAGCCGCTGAAAACAGATTATACAGCATGACAAATAGTCCTCATGATTGCAGGGAAGTTTAAATAAAGCAGGAAATTCACAATTTGGTAAAAAGTTTCTCTAGTTGGACTGAGGATCTGAGAAGGGCCGAAAGAGCTGTCTCAGTACAGTCATTGGGGGCAAAAGTAAGAGCTTATTTAAGATCAACACCCTGAAAACAGGGATCACAAACTTAAACGTGGAACCTAATCACCTAAACATAAGATAGCATAGTAGGAGGGCCTTATGTTCACTACTCGTGCAAAACCAAGGACTAGAAAATCCAACAACGGATGGGATTAAATCTTCCACACTTTCTTCAGAACTGTTCTTTCACCCTCATCTTCACCTTCTCCTGGTTCTCTTCCTTGCTTCTCCCTCTCCCTCCTGGCCTCCTCTTCCTCTTGTTCTGCTCTCCTTTGTCTTTCTTTTTCCTGTCTCCTGCCCTCTTGCTCCCTAGCTGCAGCTTCTTCTCGCTTACTCCTTTCCTCGTGCCGCGTCTTTTCTCCTTTCCTCCTCTTAGGTTCTTCTTGCTCTTTTTCTTCCTTTCTTCGTCTTTCTTTCATTTCCTGTTTCGTTTCGCCTTCCAGTTTTTCCTTCTCTTCTTCCTCTTGCCTCGCCCTTCTTTGCCTTTCTTCTTCCTGTCTTCGGGCTTCTTCTTGCTCTTTCCTTGCTTCTTCTTCTCTTCTCTTCTTGGCTTCTTTTTCTTCTTCTTCTTCTTTTCTTCTGGCTTCCTCTTCCTCTCTCTTCTTGGCTTCTTCTTCTTCTCTTTTTCTGGCTTCCTCTTCCTCCCTTTTCTTGGCTTCTTCTTCCTCCCTTTTCTTGGCTTCTTCTTCTTCTCTCTTTCTAGCTTCTTCTTCCTCCTCTTTCTTCCTGGCTTCTTCCTCTTGCTTTCTTTCCCTTTCAATTTCCTCCTCCATTATGCTTTCCTCTTCCTCAGCACAAGAAGTACAGTCTAATATGACTGATTCTTTCTGTGGGGTTAAAAGCTGATGAATTGTTGTGTTTGTGACATTGAATGACACAGCCAAGATCTGTCTATCCAGGACCTGCAGGACAGAGCTCTTCCCTGCTAGAAATTGAGGATAGTTTCTCATTGTTGATGTGCTGAACCCCATGAAAACAAACGAATCATTGTTGAAAGACATCTGAGCCATTGGATGGAACTTTCGTGCAGCAAACACATCTCCTTCCTTGACTCTAAACCTCACGCTTTTGCACTCGGGTGCACTGGCATTGCCAGGGCAAACCACCCGAACCATACCTTGACCTTGCAACACTATTGCTATCTCAGAAGCTCTTGGATTCCAGTGTGGTCCCATCATCGAACCCTTCAGAAAAATTACACAAAGAGAATCTTCTTAATACGTGCAACAACATTTTCACTTTTAGCAAATTCTACACGGACAGCTGAGTAACCTACCTTGGTCAAGTTCACCATGAAAACTCCAATGTTGGAATCTCTTAACAAACGCAAGTCATGTCTGTCCACTGTAAGGCTCCAGCCATTACAATTCTTGAAATCTGGATCTGCTTCAAGAACATTATATGCTTTTGTTCTCTTCTTCTTGCCGTTGATAGAATCGAAGCCATCCCTGTTTCTCCATGGAAAGGCTTTCAAGAGTCGAGCTTGCCATTCGCAGTTCTTTTTCTTTTGCACTGCATGAATTATTCCTGGTGGTTTGGTTGCTTTCATCACTTCTTCTATCACATCCTCAGGTACCTTGAGACAGAAGTTCACATTTATATAGGAAAATTAACACAAAGCAGAATCATCATTCATGTCAAAACCCAAATTTATTTGCATGTAAATGATTGGGGAACCACGTTCATTGAATTGGGTCGAATGACCAAAAATCTTAAATGAGAAAGCCTCTAACCTACTTTTAAAGTTAAAATCTTACCTTAAATGCTGCTTGGAGGACTCAAACCAACTTTTAAAGCTAAAATCTTACCTTAAAAGCTGCTTGGAGGACTCTCGAATCAAAGCCAAGGACCAAATCAGTAATGCTTGAGTATGCCCCGACCCATGGCTCCTGCATTTGTTAAATTAAACAGTCCGAAATTCAGACATAAAAGTCGGTATGATTTTAGTAAAGTTACTAGAATTAAAACAAAGAAGAAAGGGAAACAAATGGAGAACAAAAAAAAGTAGCTAAGAATGTCATACATTTATGTCATCTTCTGTATTAGAGAAGATTGCATGAATTCTAAGCTTCTCTCGTTCAGGTTTTAAGCTGCTCTGTATATAGAAAACTGACCCTGGATGCAGCCTATATATATCTCCTTTCCTGATGTTCACGTTCCTTATCTCATTATCATCAGTCCAACTCAATGTTCCACTCCCTAAACCAAAATTTCATTAAAGGAAAAAGATTAAGGAAAACCATGAAAAATTCCATGCAACTATTTCATTAAATATCATCCTGAATTACTATTAAGTTCAGGGTACCTGTGTGGACATAAAAAACCATCTCTGCATGCAGCAGCACTGGAAGAAAAAGGGAGCTTGGCTCCAGGGTGATGAATTGCAGATGGTATGGACCTCTTGTTCCATCAGTGAATTTAACGGCTGAGATTTCTCCATATTCTGTCCCAATTAAGGGCGTCCTCTCATGTTTCTGCACCCAATGCCCCACAGCGGAAGCATTTCCATGCGAAGCTTTAGCACTGACCTGAAACAGACTAAGAACACATAAAACTGTGAGACAAGAAAATGGGAAATTGAAGGTTCCCTTCAGCATTGTATCAAGAGAAAGAGATGAGAATCTGAGTAGTGAACACTCTCTAAGTCTTGACTATATAGAAGAATGGTGGTGATGAGATTGGAAAGTTACATTACGTGGAGTTCCGTTTGGACACGTGCATGCCCATGCAACAGCTGGGAGGTGCTTAGAAGAATTCTTCCCGCTATCTTACAAAGTGGTTTGGATCCAATCTAACCGGGAGAGAGTGCATGCACGTGATTAAGTTGAATCTGAGTGGCTTCATCTTCTCAATTTCCGCAAAGATCACGTGGTTTCAGCAAGAAACGGTATGCCGCTATGGACTATCAGCTGGCTCACTCTGGGGATGTTTGTCGGCCTGGCCTCTGCCTTGCAGCAAAGATCCAAAGCTTATATTGATGCCCGCGAAGGATGCCGAAGGAGTAAGGATTGCTGAAGCCAGGCCTGGCCCTTTGCTACACTGCAGATATGGACTACTACGACTATATCTGATGTTGGCTGGGATTTTACTTTTTGCACAAAGGGAAGGGCAAAAAGCCCAGAAAAAAGTGGCCCCCAAAACTACAAACTGGGCACATATTTGAGTTTGTCAGAGATCTGGGATTATGTTTCATTTTAGCGGGCTTAGATGTCTTGTATTCTTGTTCATTTTACAAACTCTTCAATTCTCCCCCGTTAGGCCATGATATTCCAAGTTACCAACTAGTGCTTGAATATGATGCTTAAAAATTCGGCATCAAGTTGGACTCCAAGAGTTGGTCTTTTCCCATCAATTCAAGTTGGGCAGAAAAATATGCTCAAACACCTTTAAGGCTTTGACCATACAGCACATACCATCTGATATCTTAATCTGTCTGCAAACCCCTAATGGTCCACCATATGGCACAAAGACTGGGATTCCACATGTAAAAATGTGAGGGAATCACAATTAGAAAAAGAAAGACATACTATAGTTAATATGAGAGAGATGGAAAAAAAAATTGGGGAAAACTAATTGAATCAAAGGGTATTTTTCCCAAAGCAAAATCAACATATCCTAAGATCCTCCATATTTCAAAAAGGATGTGTAAGGTTACTTGTTGAATAGAAGATAGAAGATCCTCCCCCACTTTCCATCCCCAAAATCAGCTTCCACTGCTGCTGCCCACAACACCCCCACCCCCTCTTTCTCCCCCCTTTGCCTTTTCTTTTTAGGGGGTAATGGAGACCATCTTTATGTGAATGATAATAAATCAGAATCTCAAACATTTTTCTTTTTTTCCACCTTTTGTGAGGTACAAGCCTTCCCTCCTTTCCTTTCCCAGCACCGCGTGTGCTCCGTGTGATTTCATTTTTGAACCTTAATACCTAAGTATTCTGACTCAAAAATTATTCCCAACAAAATACTACTGGTATTCTTGCAAGTTGCAATGCAAATCATGTGTTTGTGAGGAAAATGTTTTCCTTTTGGGAAGATGAGGTTTTGATCAGCTTGACAGATGTTGAACAATTATTGGTTCTTTGAGAGTTCAGATGCTAATTGAATCATTGGGATTTTTTATTTATTTTTTATCTTTTGCATTAGGAATATTCTTTATATTATTATTGATGTCAATTTAATTCATTGTTTATATTACCATGGTGTAAAGATAATAGAAGATGGAGCTGGACTTCCTGATGTGAAAACAATCCTTTGCCTTGATTTATTCTGCAAATTTCCTAGTAAAAGTATCCATGATTAAGTACAGAAAAGCTCTCACTCTTTAAAGCAATCATAATTTAGTGTTTTTTCTTTTCTCCATATACAGCATATGGCCGGTATGCTAGAATTTTCTATTATTATCAACAATTCTCAAACTTTGAGAAGGTGCTTTCTAGTTTGTAATCTTCTTTTACCATATGGGACCTTCTTAGAGGCTTTTCTGGACACTTTTCTTTTCAAAGTTAATTATGTTTAACTTTTATTTTTTCCATCTAATCATGTTTCTTCTTACCAAATGAAACATCAAATTAATTAACCAAAATTAATTTGTAATATAGAATTTTTGCAAATAATAAAGAATCTTTAACATTTGCAATCAATTGTAAGCAGATTTTTTTTTTTAAAAAAAGAAGCTTATATATATCATGTAAACAAAAAGGAAACATTTAAATCAATTAATAATAAATTAAAAATTTTGAAGCTAGTATATAGAAATGTAAATTCTACATGCACCCCTTGTTAATTCAACTTGTTCATATGATATGTTGTAACTTTTTTTTTCAATTAACACCCTGTAGATAACTCTTGTTCTCACAAAATTAGGTTATATGGCTAATAAAATTATTAAAATATTTTTAATTTAAAGTTAGTCTATTTGTTCATACTTAAATGTATTTTTATAATCGTATTAGGTAAAATTAATGCCTAACTTTTTATTGGAGTAGAAATTATCCATATGGTGCTAATTGAAAAAAAAAAAAAACCTATTAAGTGATGATGAGACAAAAAAATAAACTACAAGATATTATGTAAGAAAATTAAAATCACAAAGAGTGTAAACATAATTTATTGCTTTGGTCCATGAAATTTTTTTTTAATCATGTAAATCTTAATATCTTTTTAATTAAAGGAAAGAGACTCGAATTTTATTATTTAGATAAGAAATTATACACTAATCAATAAATCACATATTTAAATGTCATATAAATCTTAATTATTCATAAAAAACTAGATCCTTTGATCATTGATTTCAACATTATATAGATTAAGCATCGGATCCCTCCTAAGCATTCACACGTATAGAACCATCTAAATCCAATACTATTGATTAAAAAAACAAAAGAAAAGGCTTTAAAGTTTAAATCATTAGAAAAAAAACCCTAATGACCCACATAAGCTTGATTGCGAAATAAGTGCTAACATCATAAAAAAGATATATTGCCACTAATTTGTAGAATTAAAAACAATTCATGTTCTTTGCGAGTAATTAAAGTTTAACAAATAAAAATTAAAAACAAAAAGTTTGTTAAGACATCTTTTTGGAGGTGGGCAATAAAACTTTTCCCTTAAAGTGCAATTACAAAAACAAAAACAAAAGAAAAGACGGGGCGGCATTGGATATATTGTGTTTCTTTCCGGTACGTAAATGGACGGATAGAGATTCATCAATCGGAGGAAACGCACTGTCAACAATCGGGAACATATTCCCCTCCATCTTTCCTCTTCTTTCCTTTCTTTCTTTCTCGCCGCCAAAAAGCCAGGACTGTCCTACGTGGGCGTGGTTTCTACGCGCTCTTGCATCAACAGTACTGTTCGGAACTAGTAGTCATAAGGGTTGTTTCTTTTGGACCTTGGAACAGAGCATCCATGCATGCCCGACAAAAAGCCGTCTGGTGGGAACCTGTTGTGGGACACCACCCGCACCTCCCACTGGCCACTCACGTCACAGTTCCATGTCGATTTGTGGGTCCTAATGTGAGAGGGAAGGGTGGGGTTCACTTGGCTTGTCAACACGAATTCCATGAACTTTTGCTGGCCCGCTGCTGCTGCCGCCGCTAAGCTAATGTGAACGTCCATGTCAATTCCTGAGTTATACGTGTTTCTTCAAAGGACTTGTGTTTTGTTATACGTGGATGGTAGGCATTTGGTTTCATTTCTTTTCATTTTTTTATCCTTGGAGTGTGATTTGTCTCCCCAACTTTCGTTGGATCAGCCAAGGATGTGCTCTTCGATCGTGGTCCTTTCCCATTTGTTTGGTTCCTAAGAAAATTGTTGAAGCTTCTACGTTTGAATATCTTTAACTTCTGCAGCCCAAAGATTTGGTTGATTGAACGAAGACGCGTTGGCTAAGAAGTCAATGAAGGCTTTTAGTTATATTCATCACAAAGTTGAAAAATATAGTTCACTCCTAAACATAGTTTCATGTTGTAGTTTGTTTGGATCATTACAAAATGAAAAACTTAAATATTAATTAATATAAAGTTAGGCTATTAATTTTGTAAGTAAATTATTAAAATATATTTAAATATAAATAAATAGATTAATATTAAATTAAAAACATTTTAATAATTTTATTGAACTAATAACTTAATGTTGTGCGAGAATAGGAATTATTGGCATAATATTAATTGAAAGAAATAATATATATAAAAACTATGCTCCTCAATATAATATAAAAGATATATGCTTAATCAAATTAGCATATAGATGGGTTTCACACATCATTAATTATTTTTGTCCAAAGAAGAAGAAAAGTTAATTTTCCCTATTACAAATCAATTAATCTCATTTATCTATGATACTATTGATATAGGTAATATAAAAAATTTTCCTTCTATCTTAATATTTTTTATCATAATAACTCTATCATAACAAAATAGTATCAATTTTATATGGTCATAAAATTTTTTTTTATAGTTAACAACTCAAATATTTCCAATATTCTTTTCAAATTAAAATATGACTACCAATTAGATATTTTCTATTCCTTTGGTTAAACAGTTAAAATATCTAAACATTTTTCTTCTTTCTTTTTCGATTAGAAGAAAGATACAAAGGGGCAAATCAATCATGGAGGGGGATGAGTTTAATAAAGTAGCCTCTCAAGTCTAAAACTACTTTATCATAATGCCCCTTTCCAAGCTGATGTGACTACGGGGAGGGGAGAGTGGGGGGGTGCTGGTGCTTGTCTTTGGCTCGCCATTTGGAACTTTTGTGGGGTCCTGACTGGGAGGGCTAGGGGCAAGGAAAAGAGCCATGGGGCTTTAGCGCACGCAATTTGACTAACGTGTCGCCTTCCGTATTCACAAGTCTTTGTTTTTTAATTAATTAACCACATTCTTCGTTTATTAGGCATCAGTCTTCCCACGTTAATTTATATCATATTACTTCCTGAAGAAATATTAAAAAAGAGCATATTTCATTTGTTTACCTTTGTTTTTTCCACAGTTTTCTTGAATTTTAAAACCCACTTTTGACCAATGTTAGACAATGTTTATAAATAAATAAATAAATAACTCCCATCTCCATTTTATGTTTTATTTAGTGTTTATTTTATAATTTTACGTTACAAATTTAATTTTATATTATTATTATTAATTCTTAAATTTTAACGGTGAGTGACGTCAATAGTAATGTAAAATTATTAAAAAAAATTAAACAGTTGATTTTTGTTTGTTATCTATAACTTTGAATTAAATTAAACTTTTGTCTTTGGACATGTTAGGGTTCGTCCCATTCTTTATGAGGTGAGGGCAGCTGGTTTGGTCGCATGTCTATTTAAACAATAATTAAAAATGTTCAGATCTAGGCTTATGGTATGAGTTCCTTTTCCTATGGATTTTTCATTGATTACATTTGTGTAAGTACAATCATGCAATTCCATTCATAGGATAAAATACAAGAGATAATAGAATCTAGACTCAGCACTAAATTAATCAAAGTCTACAACACTAGTAAAGAGAAATAATTGATACCACCACCTTCTCCTGTCTAAACGGTTAAATCGATGTTGAGAACTTCCGTGAATTTAAGAAACAAAATGAGGGGTGATGAGAATCCCATAAAAAGCAAAACAAACTAACAAAGCAAAAGCTTGAGTTTGAAGCCTCAAAGTTGATAAAAGACATGTCTGACTTGTGTCGAGCATGTATGTGGATGTTATGGTCATGCCATGTCATCCTCCATCAAACACACCCATACCCCTTAAAGCCCATTGACCTCTCCATCTCCATGCACACACACACACTCTCCCACCACGCAAAGATAAAAAGCCAGCAATTATAACCTCTAAAAGCCCCCCCTTAACTTCTCCGCCTCATACTTTCAAACCCTAAAAACCCCAAATCCAAAAAGAAGGAAGAAGAAGACCGAAGAAACCAAAAGCTCAACAAAGAGCGCTTTCTTTTGTGCTCTTAAGCTATGAGAGTCCCCGTTACTTCCCCACAAAACAACCATTCTCCGAGCCCAAAGCCTAGCAACAACAGCAGCAGCAACAATAACAGTATAGCCCGGAACATCAGTTTCCACGGGCTTAACGGTGTTCAAACCTCATGCTATGAGCCAACTTCAGTTCTTGATCTTCGTCGTAGCCCTAGTCCAGTGCCCGAGAAGCCGGTTACGAATTCTGCCGATGTTTCAAATTGTATCTCGTCGGATCCTCATCATCATCAGGCGCCTGCTCTTGAGTGGGACGAGCATGTGCTGCGAACCATGGACTGGGATTCCATCATGAAAGACTTGGGATTAGACGACGAATCTGTGCCTGCTATCAAAACTATTAATCCGCAGGCTATTAGTCCCTGCGAGAATCAAATCCAAAGCCTCCCTGAGTTCTCATCTTGCGAGTTGACTCATCAGTCGGTCCATTCTGATTTTAACAACCTTTACGATTTTTATTCGGGTCTAAATCAAAACCCATCTCATCAAAGTTTTATTACTGCTACTAACAATTACCTCGATATTTCTAATAGTTATAATTTTCATAACACTATTAGCAACTTCAACTTGGGCTTTGATTTTATAGAAGAGCTGATAAGAGCCGCGGATTGTTTCGACACCAACGAACTGCAACTCGCGCACGTGATATTGGCGCGGCTCAATCAGCGGCTGCGATCTCCTTCGGGCAAACCGTTACAGAGAGCCGCTTTTTACTTCAAAGAAGCTCTCCAGTCTCTGCTCACCGGGTCAACTCGGTCGACTCGGTTATCCTCATGGAGTGAAATCGTGCAAACCATCAAAGCCTACAAGGCCTTCTCCGGAATCAACCCTATTCCCATGTTCAACCACTTTACCACCAATCAAGCTCTTCTCGAAGCCCTGGACGGGTCAGCACCGTTGATTCACATCATCGATTTTGATATCGGACTGGGAGGCCAATACGCTTCTTTAATGAGAGAAATGGCTGAAAGAAATGATCATTCCTGCAAGTTCATTCGAATAACCGCCGTGGTTCCCGAGGAGTATGCCATTGAGACAAGGCTTATCAAAGACAACCTTTTCCAGTTCGCTCAAGACCTCAAAATAAGGTTCCAGATTGAATTTGTTCTCCTTCGAACCTTCGAAATGTTGTCTTTAAAGGCTTTTAAGTTCATCGACGGGGAAAAAACGGCAATCCTTTTATCTCCGTCTATTTTCCGATGTCTCAGTTTAAACGTCGCGGCGTTTCTGAGTGATCTTCGGAGGGTCAATCCAAGCGTCGTCGTCTTTGTAGATAGCGAGGTGTGGATGGAGTCAGGCACGACGTCGTTCCGGAAGAATTTCGTTAACGGCTTGGAGTTTTACGCCATGATGTTCGAGTCGTTGGACGCCGCGGTCGTGGGTGGGGAATGGGTGAGGAAGATAGAGACGTTGTTGTTGCGTCCGAGGATATTGGTGGCGGTGGAGGCTGCGGCCAGGAGGACGGCACCGCCGTGGAGGGAGCTGTTTGTTGGGGCGGGAATGAGGGCGGTGCATTTGAGTCAGTTTGCGGATTTCCAAGCCGAGTGTTTGTTAGGGAAGGTTCAGGTTACGGGATTCCACGTGGCTAAAAGACAGGCTGAGTTGGTGCTTTGCTGGCACGAAAGCCCCTTGGTTGCCACGTCAGCTTGGAGGTGCTAGCCTTAGCCTAGCTGGATTTAGGATTAGGAGGAGGAGGGCGGCTGATTGGGGATGTAATTGTACGTATCCCGATCCAATTTAAATTTTTGCTGTGTTTGGATCTTTCCATGTTTTAGCATCAAGTATAGTATCTTGGTATAATTTGGTGCAGTTATTATGAAAGGGCTGGGGATACCTTTTAGTTTTAGGTGGCCTAGTTTCTTCTTATCCAGTATTCCAGTTATTTGTATATCCAGCATACCATATGAGTCCTCAAACAAAGCCTTGTACCAAAAACTGAAGTATTTCAAGGGGGCAACCCCACTGTAATGAAATCAAATTTTTTAGGTTTGCTTTTTTCTTTGGGGAGAGAAGATCTTTGTTTTATCCTAAAGTTGTTCATGTTTTATAGAGAAAAAACTTGATGTATTTGTCTAAAGGGGTTTTGAGCTAAATAATTAGTCCTACTTGAAAATATACCATTTTAAGATTTTCAGTTCATTTGAAAGCCAAGTTTCTTTTAAAATATAATAATTAGATTTCGTCTTCTATAATTAAATCTCAAGTCTATCGTGCGTAAATCATGATAAATTTCATCCAATTTGACAATTGATTTGTTTTAATTAATTATGTAAATCGTTTACTTGTTTTTCTACTTAAGAGATTTATATTGAAATTTATTTGATTATAATTATAGACAAATGTAATTTTATAAAAAAAACATAATACTTAAAATATTTTTCAATTATTAAAAATATTGAAATAAATCTTTATTCTGCATTCAATTAAATTCTCATGTTTGTTTTGAATTAAATAAACACTTATAATTAATGATTAATTAATAATTATTAATCAACATAGCACTTGTCATTTATACATATATATATACGTTGATGTAACATATTAGCATGTTATAATAAATGATAACATTATGATTTGAAATAAAAATATAAAAATTTAATTAAATATAATAAAAATAAAAACCTATTTATAATTTTTTAAAGAATTCAAAAAATGTTTTGAACATTATGCTTTCATCAACATATATATATATATACATACATATATATATATATATATGTATATATATGTATGTATGTCAAAGCACTACTATTTATAAAAGGTAGTTATATTCTCTTACGTGTAAAGTAAAAGATTTCATATAATAATATTGAAAAGTATTAAGTTATGTTATAAACTTAATTATTTTAACATTTTGGCATTTAATTAAAAGCTTAGAAATCCGTATCCAACGTATTTATCCGAATCATAATAATTCAAGTATGATTTGATTTGATTCTTTGACAAAATGAATAATAATTATAATAATAATCGCAGCAAAACAAAACAAATACTACGACTCCCACCACTTGTTGTCCCTTCCAAACACTTACACTTTTGTATTTCTTAATTCTACTCAAAGCCCGTGGCGTGGCCCAATCCTTAACAATGTGAAGCCCAAACAAAAACTTTCCAGGTTCAAACGACATCGTTTTTACTGCCAGAAAATGAAATTTATTCTTGCCTTGGAAACCTCCAAAACTCCGAAAGTACATAAAAAAAAAAACATTTAGCGGTAATTATTAAAATGTAAAAAAGACTGGTTAATTTGGATTCTCTACGCAGAATCCTGCAATGGCTTTTCTCGGATCCAATGTAGCCAGCGGGGTTTGAATCTATCTTCTCTTTTCATCTAATTTTCTCGGTTTCTTTTTCTTTTTCTTTTTTGCTTTTGATTTTAATTTGTTTACTGTGTTTTGTTTGATCACCCTTGTGGATCTGTTAATTAGTTTATAGTAATGTATTTATTAGCTGAAATTTGGTGTAAGTCAGAATAAATTTGCACCCCGATCATAAGAAAATAATGATCTCAGATTATGAGCTGACTGTTTCTCTGTTCATGTAAAAATCAGCGCGGAAATTGCTCATTGTTGGATTAAAGAGTAAAAAGTTAGAGAAATCGTTTTTGATGTTTATACTCTCGGAGTTAATAGAGAAAAATAGAGGAATTTATATTTATTTATTCGTTTATTTTGTTTAGCTGAGAATGAGAAAATAGTAATAATATCTTGCTTTTTCTTTTTCTTTTTAGATTTTCTATGTTTGCTTAACTCAGGGAATGTAATAAGTTTCATTTCTTTGCGGGGATCATGCTCATCGATTTTGTTAAAGTATTTTGAATTGTTTGTTATGTATGTTTTTATGGTTTGGTTTAGGTATTGTGTTGAGTTTTGATGCTTGCTACCTTTCTTATGGTTACATGCTTAACTTGCTTCTGAATTGTTTGCATGCCATCTAATGTAGGTTGGGTTACGGTTGCTCCTCTGCCCACTTGGTTCTAACATTGTCACTCGTGCCGCATGGTGTGTTCTAGTTGAATCTAGTGCTTGTCTCTTGGTAGCTTGCTTGACATGTTCTCCTAAATATTTGATATAAAGTTGATTACTCCAGCATTAGCTGAAGTCACCCTTTGTGGATATCAATCTTGCAGCTGTTCTGTGGGGATTGTTTTACCTGTGTACTCTACATTTAGGGCAATTGAAAGAAATGATGAAAATGAGCAGCAAAAGTGGCTTACATATTGGGCAGGTCAGCAAATTGTTCTTTAGCTTTTCATTCAAAGTTGAAATCATCGTCATTTTGTTGAATTCTTGAATTTTGACCATCTTTCCTCTACCTATATCAAATTTTAGGAACATTCACCTTCCATTTTCTGACATAAAATTGCAGTTTGTTGTTTTCTATGCTGCTGTTGCTTGCCGGTACAAGTCGAAACCTTCTTTTAATTGTTTTATGCAAACTTGAAGCCCAAGCGTTTCATTGTTAAGATGCTTTAAATTAGTGGGCTAGCAATAAATGGTTATGCAGTGGTTTCATTGACTACCTCCTCATTTTATAGTACACGAGTCAGGATGAAATGACAAACTCATATAATCAATGAACACACATCTTGGAATAAAAATGAAGACAGAAACTGTCAAAGGGGACAATATTAACTATCAGTCAAGATAAAGGTAATCATTAGGATTTTGATGTGTTATAATCCAGGGCTTGCTTATTGCATTAGGCTTTTGTTTTGCTCGTTTTCTTTTTCAACTTGGTGTTATGTTGATATGGTGAGCATTCTGATTTATGTCAATAGCACTTTTATCTTTGAAATCTGGAAGTACATGACCTTCTCATCATTGCAGCTTATGGATCTTTCACCATTGTTGAAGTGTTCTCTGACAAACTTCTTTCCTGGTACCATTTGACCTGAAGTGTTTTGATTCCTAACCATTTATGCATGTGAAGTGTCTAATATTCCTTTATGCTTGCATGACTTGGTATATTACTTAATATTTATTTCATTTTTACAGGTTTCCATATTATTATCACTTCAAGTTTGTATTTCTTGTCTGGCTTCAACTTCCATCTACTGAAGTAAGTTCAAAATCATGATTATTTTCATTCATACTGAAATCCAGGGTTAAAAGGAGGTTGCTGAGATGTTTATTTGTTTTGAGGTTTTTTTATATCTTCTATGTTGTTCTTCTGCATCCTCTGTTTTAATTGCTTTTGTTGCATTTTCTTACAATCCACTATCTAATTACAAGGATTCCTTCTTTTCACGGTTAGATTTTCACCAAGGTTTTGGTATCTACTCGGTTTTCTTTCAGGATTAGATGAAGCAACATAGAACTTCCAGAGTCACAGACTTCTGACCGTTGGTTCTTTAGTGGTAATTAGCAAATGGAAAACCAATTTAATCAGGGTATAGGGGAAACAACTTAACAAATTTAAAGAAATACATGTGTTTTTGTCCCACTTATTTCATTTCTAACTGCAATTCTGCTTGTATTTTTTTTTTTGAAACCTATTTCTTTATCATATTTAGGTTGGTATATTCACATTATGAAATTGCTTTGCTAACAGGGGGCTAAGCGAATATACAAGAACCACCTGCGTCCATTCTTGTTGAGGCATCAAGCTAAAGTTGATGAACTTATGGGCTTTGCATGTGCTGAAATGGTATGTAATCCCTTTGTCATTGGTTTTAATTTGACATAGCCCTTGTGTGGATATCTGCACTTGGGTTCCTCTTTATTTCGCCTTCCAATATGTAAATGAGATGTAGACATCGAGTTTTGTGGGCATATGCAGGCAAGATTCGTCAGCACGCATCAAGAAGAGTTCCGATTTGTTAGGATAATGTTCAGGAAGATGACAGGGTCAGGTTAGCACAATACTACATAAACTGCTGGCTAGTTTGGCTTTTTTCCCTATTTTCTGCTATATCATGCTGAAAATTTCTCAATATTGAACCAGCAGATACAAAGGTGACGGGTCCTGCAGAACCAGATAAACCTAGAGGACTACCTGAAATCGAGGGCCAAACAAGAATGATCTCAAATCCGGAGTCTGATCACAATGAATGATACTTTCCCTATCTAGGGAGGCAGCTGTATATTATGTTTTTCTACCTATTAGCACCCCAATATACAAGGAGGTAACTTTTGCATAACAAATCAGGGCCTTTACTGTGGCTGAAAGAGGTGGAGCATGAGATATAGGCAGCAGGCTGCTTCTTATGAGAGTAGGCAGTATTCTTTGAATCAAAATTTCATCCCAGTTTTCAGTCTTTTCTCATGCAAGATTCCCACATTTGTCGTTTTACATAGAAGCAATAGACAATGTTTCTTTCCTGTATTTTAAATAAATAGTACACGCATATTTGATCAAAATCTGAGTAGTGGCTGAATCAATCTCCAAATATTCTTTCGCCCTAGTCAACTATACCAACACAACAATTTTAATTCTGGTTATAACTTTTTTCTTTCTTAAATAAACATTACAGTTATAAATGGTTAAGGTATAGATTAGTAAGGAAAACAAATGCCCTATTACTCGACTAAAGCCATGGTCAAAAGAATTCCTGGAGACCAAGAAATTACTGCACTTGCCCCATGTTATCACTGCTGGTTTAGTATTAACTATTCCCCTCACCACCTCGGGACTGAAGAGCCGCAGCCGGATTGTCTTGTTCGAGGTCAGTTAAAGCATCAGGTCCACACATCCGTGTCAACTCGTCCTGTTATAGCAGCAAAATCATATATGTTGACAACATGTTTAAAATCATTCTTAAGAAAGAAGTGATCGCAACGCATTTAATAAAATTGATACTAGTATTTAACAATCAGCAAGGTTCCACTCTCCGTGAGCAGAGGAATATCAAGGGAATCAGGTAAGCAAGGTAAAAAGATAGATGAGCATTCATGAAAAGGACGTGACCTCAGGTTCAGTGCCGAGTAAAAGGGGACAGCTGTTCTATACCTTAATGGAACTATTTTCCGACGTAAGCTTCTCACATTCATCAGAAAGCTTCTTTAGTTCCTCTCTAAGGTTGCGGTTTTCATTTGCCAAGCTCTCCACCCTGGCTTGTAGCTCTTCACACTCCGCCTAAGGAAACACAGAACACAAGCTACAGATTTTAACCTTCACCCTGAAGCTGTAAAATACTTCATATGCTATCAAATAAGTTCTAAAACCATTGGTTGACGAACACATGTAAACCAGTCTACCTGCTTGCGTAATCTTGATCTCCTAGCAGACTCCCTATTAGATTGCTTCCTCTTCTGTCTTTTCAACTCACGTTCATCCTGCAAGAACACACCAATTTAGTTAAAAACATGAAACTGCAGAAGTTTCTTGAAAGCCAAACTGCAAAAGTAAGTCACATCCACAATGCTCTAGTAGCTTAAAAGGATGCACAAAGGATGCAAACAAGTGACATTAGGGACTAAGGCGGGTTTTAGCAACTCAGGAGCAGAAGATCGGATTACAAATTGAGCAAATACTAATAGATGAAAAATCTCCCAGTTAGGCTCATACTTGAATCCACGGGTCTGGCATTACACCTCCAGGAGCAACTGTGGCTACAGCACCAGATGAGTTAGGTCTCATTTTTGCAGCTCCTGCTGCAGCAGGGGATCCGCTCCATAGGTCCATCCCTATATTCAAAGTAGTTGCAGGCATAGAGACTATGGGTTTCCCAGGAACTAAAGCCTGAACTGCCCCAGCAGTGTTACTCTGTGCATTGGCTGGTAACAAGAGCGATTATAATTAGAAAACTATCACATTATCTAAAGTGAAAATGTTAACCTACAAAACCAGCCCTAAGCTTATTACCAGAATTACACTTAGCAACTCTTATTTTTTTTCAATTTTCTTACACTAATTCCCTCATCACACTTTTCCGTCCTCCCTATTTATAATATTTCAAGAGGGGTCAGTTTGTGTGTCTTGAAACCATAAGGAGAATTTTTTTCTTTTCAAAAAAACCTGAAGCTTGTCTTTATGGTTTATCCCTAGTTAAAAAATAGCAGAAATTAGATAAGGAAACTTAATATACCATCCGCAAGCATCTGGTCAAAGCTTCCCTTTTTACCAGCAGCAAGTTCCTAACGAAAGAAAAAAATGGGCACATATTTATTAGCAAGGACAATTCATTGCATTATCATGATGGCCAGTAAACAATGTTGATGAAGGAAAATGAATTTATAAAGTAGGCAGTGCCCTCGATGATAAATCAAATATTGATAATTAGGCGCATACTTGTTGATTATTCTCATCACTTCCATCTGATGTACCTTCACTGCCACTTTCACCACTGTTAAGAATAGCCATGCACAAAAATTGAAGAAAATTTTTTAACCAAATTTCTACGTTGAGAATGAATGTGAGTATTGTGCTAGAAAAAAGGTTGAAACATCATAAGGCTAGTGCACCTTTGAGAGCCACCATCATTTCCAGAGCCTGAAGCCACCTTTCCACTCTCTCCAACCTTGCTTCCTGAAGTTCCCTTGGATTTTTTGGTGGCACCTCGATCCTTTCCATCAGTACCCTTCACTTCATGATCAACATTATTCTGTGCAGAGTTGGAGTCTATAGAAAAAATAGAATAGCCAAAGTTAGTGACAAGAGGACGGGCATTTATTTTATGAGTAACTATGAATCAAAAGGAAATACAAATGGGAAAATGAAAACACATAAAGAAAGAAAATAATAATATTACCGTGGCCATATTAGGATGTGCATAAACACCACCTGGAGGATATATAGCTGGGTATGGAACTGGGGTGCCATATGGAGGCATTAAGGGGTGCTGAACGAGAACAACAAAAAGGAAAGTTAAGAACATTACTCTGGTCAAATATTGAAAGAAACAGACTGTTGCATAATGGTGATTTCAAAAGTGGAATCACCTGTCCCCCCATATATATGGATGTGGAGTTGGAGAAGCAACAGTTGAGGCAAAAAAGGGAGGTGGAGTAGCTCCAGCACCATAATAAGCCTAAACAAGAAGCCCAGCTGTAAGCTTGAATGCTTACTTACAGGATAGCGACTTTTATGAATTTCATAAACAAGACCAACAGTAAAAAAGAAAATCAAACCCCACGAATTATTTATACAACCTGCATCGAGCTTGACCAATCAGGATATAAGGGTGTTGTAGGTATTTCCTATAAGTGCAAAGTAGAAATATCAGTAAAACTCATCCACATGTTAATGGTGAGAGAAAAAGAATGGAATGAGCACATTTTTTGTTCTTTTCTTTGGGTGGGATGGAGGCGACTATGATAGACCTGAGTTGAAGCTGTAGGTTTGGAAGGCTTGGCAGGTGTGCTCTCCTCTTCTGTTCCCATTATCACTTTGGTAAACGTCTTAAATTCAGCAACTTAGAATCAAACTTGTATATCCTCAACGACTTTTATGAAGCACCTGAGCACCCAATACCAAGAAACCCTAGTATGTCAGAAATGAGAGATCACAAGAAAATTATCTAACAATGTCACAGCTAACAAGGAAAAAGAAATAGTATGTGGAATATGCCGAATCAGGTTAAACATCCGTTCAGAAACTTCACTTATGAGCCAAAACATGATTCATAGAATATAAATCTATACGAATTTCTCTATCAGCATATTATCATGAAATGACTTCAAAATAGAAAGATAATACAACTGAACTTCACTCAGTGAGACCACAGACTACAAAACCAATTGCCCAACTTGCAAGCCCCAGGGTTTGCATGAAAGCACCAAATACAACATGATCCAGCACACCACAAAACCACCCTTAAAGTATTGTATACAGCCTACACTACTAGCAATAACCTTAACAACCATTTAATGAAGCTAAAATTTAGAAATAAGCTCATTAGTTTCCAAGATCTTCTCTCATCTTGGCCAACACTTCTCACAGTAAATAAACAATTCCAAAACCATACCAATCGGGTTACTTTGATCTTCATTGATTCAGTGATATGGAAAACAAAGTGGAGTATCTGACAACAATCCTCGATAAAAGGACAAACTTGAAATAGAAAGGAATACTTCAATTCCAATATTACCTTCCAAAAAAAAAATTCCTTCCCTCCAATTTGTTTCGTACAAAGCATCCAATTTTTTCAACAGTTCCCATATTAACAAGGGAAAAAAGAACCACAAGAAATTGGCAGTATCTGCTTTGAATAGCCCAAAGCTAAAGCTAGCTAGTCAACACGAATCCCTGTTATTCTTCTCTACAAATTGTAGTAAAACCTAATGTTGACCAGCAATAGACATCTTACAGCTGGAATCCATCCACTTCCTTCCCAGACATGTTAAAGAAAAAAGAACCATAAATTAATTAATTACTAATAAATATGCTAAAGAACTATTTTTTTCCAAAGATTAACAGCTAATCTCAATCTTCAAGCCTTAACCCACAGAATTCCCCTCAGTCATAACATAAGCAAAACTCAACAGAAAAAAGAAACATTTTGACCATGAAGTTCAGAGGTAGAACAAGTAATTATCACTAATCCAACTGCCTGATCAAAATTAAAGCATGACATATAAGATCCTGAAACTAATTTCCTAATGGTTCAACTTCTAAATGCTTTTAAATTACATATAAAAAGAAAATTCAAAAAAAGTAAAATAGGAAAAGAAAAGAGAGACAAAAAACAAAGAAAAAAAAAAAGGAAAGACCTGTTTTCATGGCGTTGAAGAGGCAAGTGAGGTGGAAGTCCAAGTGGAACACTAGATGAAAAGAAAATTAGAAGAGAGAGATATTTATATATAAATAAATAAATAAATATAGTACTTTTATCAGACGGCTGAGGATTGATGATAGAAGGCAAATTGTTAAGGCTCAGAAGAGACACTCGTACGTAAATAAAAGTTACAGGGTAAAGGATGGACGCTAATAACTGTTTGTTCTGATCCGGTGTGGTCGTTTGCTATAGGTTCAAGTTGTAGAGCAAATAGCGAAAATCCAGGGAGGAAGGAGAGAGGCAGGAAAGAGAGAGAGAAAGAGAAGTGGTTAGGGTTTCGCGGGTGACACGTGCAAAGGCAGAGGAAGACAGCTGGGAATGTTTAACTGGATCAGGTTTATGACACAGCATCCAGCGGATGATTCATCGTTTTGTTTGACTCATTAGTTGGGAGCAATTGTTGGAAACTACGCCGTTCTGTCTCTCTTTCTGGGGGCTTTGAGGTTGCTTTTTGTTTTTGTGTTCGGTTCTGGTTTCGTACGGTAATGATCCATTTGGGCTTGTGTGGCTTCCACGTCACTGGAATATTATCCGCTTGCTTTTGTCCGTGGAAAGTGGGATCCGCCAATCAAACGAGCTCATTTGACCCGATTTTCTTAGAGCCATGGGCTTTGAATGCTTTATCGTTTAAATTAATTGGACTTTGGTTGTTGCTGATGGGCATGGCTAAGTGCTGCTTGGCCCACCAGATCCCTGAACCAGGTCTTTAAAACGGAAACCAGCTGGACTTGGCTCACTAGGCCACTCGCTCTTTTGTTTTTTTTTTTTCACTTAATTTTTTCTATTGGAGATATATACACTTACTATTTTAATTTATTTTTTTCTAATTTAGTCTGATTTGGAAAAAAAAGTCAAATTTAATTTTTTCAATAAAAGATACATGCACTTACCATTCGAACCTAATTTTTTTAGTAAGACATATATGCACTTATTATTAAATCAAATGCATAGATACATTCATACGAGATTAAGATCAAAATAAAATAAATGATAATTATAATTACTTAAATAGGGATTAAGACATTAAATAGTCAAAAGACTACAATGATTTTATAAAAGCTTTATTTTCCTTTCTTGTTTTTCCTTATATTTGTATTCTGAGCTGTTTCTGATGTCTTATACAGGCATGGATTTGTAATGCCTATCTCCATCAAAAAGCAGAGAAATATAATCAGCCATGTACAATTTTACATTACTCTCAGCCGTTTAAGAACTGAAAACATGATCCACCACCCACCTGATTAATCTGATAAGCAGTCATCAAAGCAGCAGAAGAATGTAGAAGAAGTCTTCTGCTTCTTTCCCTTGTCATCAGACTTGTTGGGAGCATGGCCAGCATCAATGGAATCTTCCTGTACATGGCTTTCCGAATAATCAATTGAAACTATCTCGGGAGGTGTGGTCTCTGTTGAGCATAAGTTCTGAAGGAAGTTTGAGAGAGAGCCAGTGATTTCTTTAAATTCTGGTCGGACCTTCGGGTCCTCTGCCCAACAGGACTGCAGCAGAGAAACAATATCTCCTGGAAGACTTTCCACACTAGGCCTTTCATTCTGAAAGAAAGAAGAGTGATATCATTAGAAATCATGAAAGTTTCAGAAAGTAATGGCATGGAAATCAGCAAATAATTTGAAGGTTTATGTTTTTCAGGTTATTGAAGAAAATTCAGCTTACTTTTGCTGCTGCATATGCCACTGTTACATTGTCCCTTCCTTTAAATGGAACTTTGTTTGTCAGCAACTCCCACAGAACAATTGAGAAGCTGTACACATCCACCTTGTGATCATAGTGTTTCTTTGCCCCTACTGGAAGAGGATCTCTGCTGTATAACTAATTCAGAGAAACATAGAGTTAGACATAATAGGCAGATATGCAGCTACAAGATATTTTGTAAGCAGGAAAGGAAAAGCACCTCCGGAGCCATCCACCGGTAAGTACCAGCCTCACAAGTCATTCCACCCATTGCTTCCTCTCTAGCTAGCCCAAAGTCAGCCAGCTTGATTTGCATTCTATCCTCTGTGAGAAGTAAATTGCCTAACATAATTGTAAATGTATGTAAGAAGCAGATTATCTACTGGCATAATATTTTCTCTAGTGCTCAGTGTTGCAAAGCTTAAATGCTGCATTGTGTGAATGCTTAGTATCAGCTTCTGAAATGCTTTGGAACTTTGATACATCTCATTCATCGAAGAAAAAGTGAAAACTTTCCATCTCACTATAATTTGTTTCACTCGACTTGGCATTATTGCAAAGTCAGCTTATGTTACTCAGACTCAGAGGTGCGTGTTGGATACAGTTAAGTGTCGGACACAGATACATTCAATTTTTTCTAAACTTTTCCATATTTGTGGAGAATCGGACCTCCATACCTATGTAGGTCCTACCTATGTCTGTCAAATACGTCGGACATGGGTACTTCATGGAAAATGAAAAGTCAGAGCAACATTTTACTTCTTCCCTAAAAATGAAGAGGGGGAGCAACATAAGACTAATCTATTTTTGTTATGAATATTCATTATATCTTGGGTCACGGTTACCCCAAGCAAGAAAAGGCATGAGCATCCAAACTGAGATTAATGACAGCATGCATAATGTCGACAATTTAACACATTGAAGCAACTACAATATTGAGATAATAAGAGAATGACTTACTTGGCTTCAAGTCACGATGAATAATGCCATTGGCATGCAAGTATTCCATGGCTCGAGAAATATCCAATGCAAGACTTATTGAAAGCTTCAGATCTAGACGCTTTGGGCGTATGCTCCACAAATACTTCTGAAGTGTTTCACCTTTCATGAGCTCAGTAACTATCATCATAGTTGGCTCCACAGAAGCACCAACAAACTGCTTCAGCAAAACAGATCTGAATTAGAAGGACAACATGACTAATCAAGATGCAGATATGAATGCCAACTCCTAGAAGAATAATAGAAGGTAAAATCGCCAACAAATGACTTCATTAGAAATTTGTCTCATCCAGATCTCTATTAAGTATGAAGCAATTTCAATGCTCTAAGTAGTTTAAAAAGCATTTGAACAATGGATTCGAAGGCAGTATTGAACTAAACTGCATTTAGATTTCATGCCAATTCCTTAAAGATGTCTTTTCAAAATAAACACATGTTTCTAGTGAGTACAACTTTATAGATAGGATAATTAGTACAATTAGATATGGAAAATGAGATTTCACGATACTGTACACAACTGGAGTGTACCTTTTTTTTCCTTTCACACCATTACACAGAGTACAAAATGAAAATCTTCCATAGATGGTTATATTATTGACTAACAAGGAAAGAGTATCCTCACACCAAATCCAACAACTTAGTTTTGTCTATATAGCCTGTTGGCAGGCTGGCTAGTGGGGAAGATAGGGCAATATACAATGGAACAAGACTACATTATGCCTTAATCACCCATTGCCTGCTGTCAGTAGTTCAAAATGAAAGAGAGTGAAGGTGGAAAGGTAAAATTAGACACACAATTTGGTCTTAAAGCAAATGAAGTAGAATACCTTTACAACATTTTCATGGTTCATCCTAGACAACAGTAAAACCTCCCTCTGAAATCTCTCTTTATGCTCACGAGTTACAGCTGATGTATTACTTGGCTGAATGACCTTCACTGCAACTGGTTTGAGTTTGTAGCTGGAATGAAGTCAAGTAACCATCAGTGTCATAATTCTAAATCATTTGTTGACAGAACAAAGTACGTTGAAATTTTATTGCAACAGTTATAGCTTTATAGGAGATCTGTAACAGCATATAAGGAGTAAGCATATGATCAAATTTGCACAATGCGAAGATAATATCAGAGACTTAGTAAGCATGACAGCAAATGTTTGTTCATAAGGGGAACAATTTATTTTTAGCCTTCTTTTTGCCATACATTACTGCCAAATACCAAGCAACAAAAAATTTATTTACCACATACATCCATAACAGAGAGGGCTGTTTTCCCCAAACAAGATCAGAATAAGATTGCGTAGAATGAGTTCAACTTATCGAGTTTGACAGAAAACATAAACCTACTAAAATATTAATGATATATGACAGATGCTTAATTTGATAGAAATATGACCAAAAAAATGTCCTGTCAATGAGCAAGCATAAATAATCTCAAATCCATCTGATGATGAATCCTTTAACCGTCGATTATGCTGATAAAGAAAAGAGAACCACAGTCCGAATTCCACATGGCACTACCAGCTAATGCAGTTAGAGCCTAAATATTCCTCTCATCAATAACTCTTTATCAATGTAGTCTCAAGCACAACATTTGGCAGTGCATGTAAATATTTAAATCACACCGACCATACCAAATCGGTATTGATACGTCACGTATATAGAAACAAACGCCAACGACTAGCTAACTAGTAATTTAACTCATCCAAATTCAATGGAATTTCAAAATCAGTCAATCATATCTCCAACTAAAATACCTAAATAACCAACAGAACAGTCTTATATCACTACTTCTTTCTACCAATGTGACATCAACCGCATAATTCTTCACAAATTCAGCATACAAGGAATCACGAGTCCACTTACTCAGCAATTTCTATTGAAGAACTCAAAGAAACCCCAAAAAGCAGATAAATCTTTCTTCTTGAACAAAACATAGTAATTAACACTCCACATCAACAAATAAGATGTAGCACCTTACAGACCCAAACTAAAAGGAATCCATGCACCATATCTAAAAGAACCCAATTTTTTCTCAAAATATATTATCAAAATTGCACCAATATCAGCATTAACCACCTTGTAAACCAACCCTTACAAAATCCTTGAAGATTTTCTCAGTACAACAACAGAGAATTCAAATGCCACAAAAATGAAACCATAATTGAATTCAAATCAAGCAACCCAACAGAAACCAAAAAGGGCATGAAAATCCAACAACATGCAGACAATGTGATTAACCTAATCAACCCAATATCAAGAAAACCAAACATAAAACACCCAAAAAAAAAAAACATAAAAACACTAAAAAGAAGGAACTCACAATCCTTCATGAACGGTAGAGTGAGAGCCTTCACCGATCATTTTGTCAAGCAAAACAAGACGAGGATCAATCAACAATCTTTGATCAATCTGGAAGGCAAAGCTGTTATCAAAATCATCTTCTTCATCTTCCACGTCATCACATAACGTTGACGTCAGCTTACAAATTGTGTTGCCAATGTTTTGAAGAGAAAGAGGTGAAGACAACTCGAACAAGTCATCCTCTTCAAGTCCATCCATTTCTGAACCTCCCTTGTCTTTGTAGTTTCCTTGCTGCATTACACAGTAAAGACAGAGCTGGCAAAAGGGTTCTCTTGTGGACCAAAAAAGGGGGTCTCGGGGTTTTTGGAGTGCGTTTTAAATATGTGAGTCTGGGAGAGAAACGAGAGGGAAACTATGGAAAGTTTTTGTTCTCTCTCTGTATTTTTAATTTTCTTGGTTGTAGTACACTGAAGGTCCATGTAGGATTTTGCATATGCATTTACGTGGCAAATTTGCAGGTGTAGATTAATGTGGTGATTTGCTTTAATTGTCATTGATTGGAGGGTGGGAGTGATGGAGGTTATAAATAGAACATAGACTTTGAAAAACATGAAAATGATTATGAGAACAATGGAAGTTTTGGAGTTTGTACTCCAACATTAATTTTGGCAATCAAGGATAAATAAATGCCTTGTATACTCGATGATGATTCCCTTTGCACATGACTTGGACTAAATTAAAAAAAAAAAAAGAAGAAAAGAAGTGAGGGATTTTTTCTTAATTTATGTATTTTGTTGATTGATTTGCTCTCAATTTGTTAATCTATCTGCCAATTCAGCTTAATCTCACATGCATTTTGCCCATGTGTCAAAGCTCATCAATCAAAAGAGCAAATTGTTAGTATTTTTAAAAAAATTAAAGTAGATTATGATGGAGGATTAACCCATCCAATTTATAAAATTAAAGCAAGCAAATGGGGTTTAGAGTTAAAAGTTTATGAAATCATCATCACTTTAATTTTTTTAGCTATGGACAGCTTAAACAACCAAGAGCTATTCAAAGCAACCAGGATAATTAATTAGCTTGTCCCGTCAAAGGAAAAAAACGTTAATGACTTGAAAAATAACACTAGCAAGAAGATAGAAAAATTCCCAAAAAGAGTGCCATTGTTTTGGTTCAAAAATAAATGTATAATGGTTTAAAATGTAAGGTAAATTATTGTGGAATAACAACCATTAGAAAAGGCTAGGTCCACTGTTAATGGAAAACCACCGATACTGCCAAACATTATCAAGGTGTAATAAATTCTACAAAGAAGCAGCTTTCAATGTCAGGAGTTCAACTTTAGACTACAAACTTCTATCATTGAAGCTGGATGAAATCAACTTCATTACTTGGGTTAAGCTTATAGTTTCATTTATATGCTTTTACGTGTTTATAATTGATTCAGGGTTTAGTACATAATATTTATATATTATCGCTTAATCATTTCATAATATTCAAAATAATAATAAATGATATGGAAACATAAGAGTTTATTTGATTTTTTTTAGTAGTTCAGGAAGTTTTTTCAGGTATTTTGTATTTTTATTGTTAACAGTGGAATGGAAAAGATTACATTAGTACTTAAAATTTTCACAAATTTAAAAGTACAAAAAAAAAAGAGTAAATTAATAGTAATTGAAGCCTTATTTATTATTGCCTTTTGGGCTTTGAACTGCATTTAGCATAACACCAAGGCTTGAGCCCAACATTCCGCAGTTGGAATTGTCGAAGAAATGTCAGTTGAATTTCATGACCATGAACGTAGGCTTATTTAAGACTTTTGGTTAATTTTCCAGGGCCGTCTGGGCTTTGACCGGTTACCGTAAGCTGCAAATCCTTGCGTGTCACGCAACGACATGGCCAAGACCACCATGTCCCATATTCTTGAATAGGATGAATTCTCCTTGTCCCTAGTCAGTGGACAAAGAAACGTCACCCAAAGACTGAGTCAAGATCATATCGATCATCCATCTTTATCTATTATCCTTTGGAAAAACTTGTGCTTCGATATCGTAAAGATGCCCTTTGTTACTTCATTTTGTTTTTTCTTTTGTTTCCTTTTATCAGCAAACAAATCATGACTCATAATCTTTTTCATCGTCATAATCTTGCTAAAAATAAACGAATGGTCTGCTTTTCCTTTTGGCTGTTTATCGTTTTGTGTTGGTTTGGGATATATGATGGGGCCTGAGGAGGGGGGGAATATATGTTTCCAAACTTTATGGGGGAGATGAATGTCTTCTTATCCTCCCTTGGCATTTGTTAGAATCTACATCCTAATGTTTGGGTTCGGTGCATTGCATCTTCACTTTCTTGCGTTATCAAATTACCCTACAAAATTTTCTTGGATCAGTGCATGAATTTACTACTTTTCCGAGCTAAAACCCACCAAGGTGATTAAAAAAAAATTATGCTTGCTTTAGTAATTTTCAGAAAGTTTAAGTTGTCATCTTATCTATATAAACTAGGTGTTTTTTTAGGTTGAAAATTATTAAGGTATTTTCTTTTTACTAGGCGAAATTTGTGGCAACGTAGTTTGACATCTTACCGTAATTATATAATTATTTAAAAAGAGTTAAGACTTTATCTACTTCAGTGCTCTGTGTCATTTTAATGAAAAGGGCAAGCTCAATGATAGTAGTTAATTAATAACATTTCTAAATTTCGAGTTCCGGTCAACATTAAAACACTGCATGGGGGAAAGATAATTAAGGATTATAATTACATTCGATGTCATTATCTACACATACTAAAATTGCACTAGCTAGTTTACATGCACAGATTCATCCAGTACTCCATGCCATGGATATAACTGTTTTCTGGTATGCAGAAAACATCTTCATATCCTTCAACTCCAAATTCCCCTAGGAAAGGTGGATCCATGGCTTCCATCGACATGGATGAACTTGGACTGTTACTAGAAACTCCATCTACTCGGTCTGTCAACCGTTGGATTTCTTTCTCTGCCTCGCAAAGTTGCTCCTTAAGCTTGAGAACCTACAATTACACATTTGATGGATGAGTTGATAGCAAGACTCTATTAATCTCTCTATGGGTTAAAACTGTTCATCTATTTATTGGGAAGAAGACATGGGATTCTTCAACGCGGAGTTTATGTATGGGAAATATAAGTTAAAAGGGTGAGCAGTTTCCCACGTGGGAAGAAGTGCAATTTTTTGCTGTTCCCGCAAGTGGGCCTTGGCTAAGCCCAAAGCCAGCCACCTTAAAACAAGACCGTACGGACCCTCTTTTTGATTGGAAAAAAAAATTTAGTACCTTTTGTTGTCTAATGAGGTGGCAGTTTGCTGTTCCTTGTCAATTTTTTGCCCGCTTTTTGTTACAATTTTTTTTTTTAAATGGCCTAACCCAACATCATGGCATGGCTTTCTTCGAGCCCAGAGCTCATGCACGTTCTAATGTGGTGGGTCACCTTGTCTTTTTCAAAGGATAAAGATTAGAGAAGATTATAGGGCAGTTGCTTAATTAGCTTGATTAGCTTGATCTTTGAAAACGTTCACAAAAAAGAAGGAAGGTAAGTTCCCACCATCCTGTTTTTGTTTACTAAATTAAACAATTTCATGTTGAAGAAAAAAAATGTAGTTTAAAGGTGTATGTCAACTAGGAAAAAGGAAAACATGTTGTCTCCGTGAGACCCTGAGATATAACATGTCTCACGAGAGAACAACCTGATAGTATCATTAGCTTCTGTTTGGTTCTTGAGAAACTAGAAAAAAAAAACCAAAGGAAAAATGGTAAAATCAGAAAGATAAGAAAACTTTGATTGAGAAAGGGTTTGTAACTTTGTATATATATAATCATGTCATTAAAATGGTTTTTTCAGCTGACTACGAAACTAAAACAAGTGAGAGTATGGAAGAGAGAAAGAGAGAGAAACCTCGGATTCAAGGCGGCATTTATCCAGAACAACACCTTCATGGACTGTCTTCAACCTGTTGTACTCCTCCTCGAGCTTCTTGTTCTTCCAACGAGCTCTTCGGTTTTGGAACCAAACAGCTACCTGGCGAGGGTCAAGTCCCAGCTCTGAAGCAAGCCGGTCTTTTCTTTCAGACTCGAGTTTATGTTCATTACCGAAATTAAGTTCGAGATGATTAACTTGTTCTTGGCTAAGCTTCCTCTTTTTGGCCCCCGCCAGGCTGTTTTCTCCTCCCTTGTTCTTCTTCCGCCGGCGTCGAGGCTTTGATTCCCCTGTTCAGATTATCAAAAAAAAAAAAAAAAAGCTTGAGTTAAGCAGAAGAGAAAAAACATGCAAAGCCGAACTTGGAAAAGAATAGTTTTCTCTCCTGTATTAAGTTTTATCACACAAACCTTGATGTGGTGAAATTTGAGTATATACACCAGGGTACATTTGGGAGATAAGAGCCATGTGATCTTCAAGGTCATTCATTTGGATTGAACTTGTCATCTCTTTGATAATCCCCTCTCTCTCTTTCTCTTTCTATCTTTCTTCTTCTTCCTCTTCTTCTTCTTCTTTTGAGGGGGCTTGGTTTCTTTTCTCTCTTAAGTTTACTAATGCTAATCTCTGCTAGAGAAGTGGAGGTGTTAGGAAGTAACGTTGTTTATTTATAGGGTTGAGTAGGACTTAAGCAGTTGTTTGTTTACCTTAAGACCCTATGCAAGATTGGACTTCATTTTCTGATGAATAACAACAATGCCATTGATGTGTTACAATTGGCTTATTAATGAGAGACAAAAGAAAGTGTCACATCTAAATTGTATGATTGAACCAGCTCGGACCAAGTTAATGTATGGGCAAAGTTTTGCATATAAATATTTTTGTTAGTTTTCACCCGCCCCCTCTCCCCTCATCCTAGCATCTAGTAATTATCTAGTTGGTAAGAAAATCCCAAAATGTGCACAATATATACTTACGAATTGAGAGGGTGGCAAGAAGATGAAGCAAAAGATTATGAAAGTTTTCATAACTTTACAAGAGAAATAAAAGAATGATACCATGAAATCTACATTTTGTAATCTCATTTCCTTATGAGGTCTTAATTTTGATATCCCCTAGATGAACCTAGGTTTAGATTAGGCTTTCCTAATTAGGTAATTAAGAGAAAAGGAGAGGGGTGATTGTGGTGGTGAGCCAAGGAACAAACGGTTTAGTAAGTGGAAAAAATTTTAAAGGGTTTGGGATCCCAAACCTGACCACCTCGAAGTCAATAAACAATGTGGTACGGTTGGCCTCGGATTTGGACATGCAAGTCACCTTTGTTGTCCAATTAGGTGGTATTCACCTCTCTCAATGTCTATTACAGCCAAGCCATATCCATTGGCTAATTAGCCAATAGCCATGGCTTTTCACCATAGCTCATTCGTGGCTCGAGATGAGTGTAAAAAAAAATGGTATATATATATATATATTTCCACTTTATTTGCTTAAGAAATGCGAGCTGCGTGGAAGAACCTCAATCTTTTAATAATCTTAAATTAGAAAAGAATATTAAGGTTGTTGGAGAAATCTTTAAGGTCACTGGATATGTCGTCATTGTTGACGTCTTGTTTACCACCTTAAGACCCCCCTCTCTCCCTCTCTTTCCTCTTGGAAAGTGATCATTTCAATGCATTTCCATTTGAAAATTGGATAATGTTTGCTACATTTCCAGCACTTCACGAGAGTTTTCTCTAGATTTCAAGGGAAAAATATAGCGGAAAGGGGGGCTTTGGATGATAATTATTTATAATTAAAAACAAAGGACCTGCAGGTGTATATATAATAGACTGTGTACATATTACGACGACTTCAATCATTCTTATTGTCACTGGCATGAGAAAATTATTATTCATTTAAATTGTTGATTAATTATCCTTAGAATCAAAGTTTCTTTAATTTAAATTAAAGAAGAATCTTATTCGGTTTTCAAAACTTATATTTTTTATGAAAATTGTAAAAATTATATATATAGATATGATCAGATCATTAGACAATTAATTTCAAGAAAATTTTAAAGATTAGGTGATGAAAAGAAGAAAAGCAATTCAGTGCATTGGAATTTTTTTACGAAAGGTATAAGTATTGATTTCATTACCTAAATTGATTACAAAAAACTATAAAAAATGGTAGTCGAGCAAAGTAACACACAGAGGGACAAAGCAGTCACCTATTGCGTTTATCTGCTCATACGAACATGTAACAAACTATCTCAGTTATGTTTGAGATCCAATCGGTAATTAATTTATTAGAAAATCAATTAACATAAAGGAAAAAAGGAATGAACTAGAAACATTGATAATTCTATACCACATTATATCTCAGTTTTGGTGTGATAACTTAAAGATATAGAAAATTACTAAGTTGATCATATATTTAAAGTAGAGTTCAACAATTTTTCCAACGAGTACAAGAATGTGCAGAACAAAATGTGTAAACATTTGAAGTTAAAATGAAAAAGGGTACTGTTTTTCAATAAATACTTGAATATATAACTTGGAAATACCCACGTGCATTATTTCAAAAAAACCATAAATTTGCATGGAAAACTCTAGTACACAAATAATTTGCCACATACATGAATACTAATTCACCTCAAATAAAAGAGTGATATGTAAATCCTAAAAATACTTGCAAGTGCATTTATCCAACACGGATGTGATCACATTGAATATATATATATATGTATATATATAATAAAAAAATATTTCAAAAGAACTTAATATAAAATGCCTAATTTTCTTATAAAATTTTTTAAAAAAAGTCTCGGAATTATAATACACATTTTTATCATAATTAAAAATTATACATCCACAACTCGAGGAAGCAAAAATTTGTATATATGGGTTATAATTGAGCATTGAAAAAGTGGAGGGTTTTGTAATTTTAAGCCCCAGCATTGAAAAAGATTCTATTTTAGTGGACTTCGTTGACAAAATCGTCCTAAGTCTGGATAGTGGAGTGTACTTACAAATTGTTGAACAGTACCCCTAGTATCTTCTGTTTACCATATGTGTTAGCTTCGTTTCTATTATATTTGGCACATATACAATTTTGGGGTTTGTCAAAAAGCCCTCAAAAAGATAATAGTAAAGGTAAAATAACGCTCAACAATCCTTGGTTTAAGCATTGGTAGTAGTTATTAAGGGCAAGCACATGTAGGGGGTTTTGGAAGAATTCATCTTTCACTCAATATTTGTATATAGAGTTGCAAAGTTTTTGCTGTGTTGTAGTATAAAGAAACAAAGATAGAAGAAATGGAGTTTCTTAACCATGACTAGACAAATATTTTTTTGTTTGTGCTTGTTTCCGTTATCGCTTTATCATTGAGGCACCTTTTTAGGGTTAAGTGAACCATGGACGAAGAACTGTTGCAAACTTTTTCCTTGATTTCTGCACACCCAAGCAGCAGTAGTCGCTGTCCTATACTTTGAATTTCTTTTCTTTTCCTTTTAGCAATTTATTTTCGGACAACTTTTATGAATGCAGAGATGACTTGGTTAGGAGGGATACACGTGCCCCAGGCCTCCCATACTAAAAAAACTCTCCGGGAATATTCGAGTGGAGACAAGAAGGACACGGCCACTTTGTGTCTTCTGTCCTTAAAAAAGTTTCATACTTTCATGTCTTGAAAAGAGATATTGATATGAACCAGATGGAATTGCCCGAAAAAAAAAATGTGAAGGGACTTGAGGGAACATGAAAAAACAAGGTCTTTTTTTTTTTCTTTCTTTCTTTTTCTTGATGGTTTGGCTGCATCAAATCAATTGCAAAGGTGGTTTAATCTGTCCATGGCAAATGCAATTGGCAGGCAGTTTAGCTAAGGAGCAGAGGCACGGGGAGCAACTTGGTTGGCTGGGGTGGTTTAAGGGCTTTTCCAACCACAGACAGAGCCTGCCTGCTTCCAACTTTGTACGATAGGGCTATCAAAGAGGTCATGCACTCTCCCAATTGTGCCTCCAAGATAGAAAAAGTTGCCCTTTGCTTTCTAATCTATAATGATTTTCTTTCAGAGAGATTGAGTTGAGGCTTTTAGAGTGGAGTTGTTCTTTCTAGTTTCTCTTTCAATCTACAAAGGCGAAGAAAGATAACATCATAATATGTGTCTAGGATTGACCCTGACTTCCGCTTTTCTTGACTATGATCTTCAAGAACATGATCTCCTGACACTCTTATGTGTTAAATCGACGACTTTGCAGAGGCAATTGGTGTATGCATACTTTCTATTTTCTCCCCATTGTTCAATTATTGTAGTAATATAAATATTTGGTTATTTATGTTTTCAACTTAAATCCTTCTTCAACCATTAAACATTTTTTATAATTAGAAGGAAGTGTCATCAGGTTATAATTAACTCAAACAAAATTTTATTACATGTCATGGATTAATTAATGGTCAACATGTTTTGCTCTCACCTGTTAGGCCTTGCTTTGCTTCCTGCCGTATAGAGAATATAATGAATTCCTAATTTGACCGAGAGAAATTAACAAATAGATAAGCTTAGAAATCAACAAGATAAGATCATGTGAACATGAACAAGACAAAAGTAAAGAAATAGTAAGTTGTTGATTCCTTACTAAGAAATGCTAGGAGAATTATAAAAGAAAAACTAGGTTCCAACCTGCGATATCTTAAGATTTCATTCAATTTTTAATTTCTAAATAAAATATCAGTGTTAGACGACTCAAACTGAAGCCAAAAAATGATAGGAGAGAGTAACAGTGTCCACAAGGACAAGGTCATTGTGGGCGCCGGTGATGAGGAGAAAGCTAATTCGGCTCAAACTCAAGCCATTTAAGTCATGGAAGGATCCCTGAGGAGCAGAGGTCAGAAATAGAAAAAAGAAAAGAAAAAGGTTGCGGAGAGAGGGTGACAAAGGCTGCTTTCGTGGCAAGGGAAATGCACATGGGGTGCAACCAAACACTTTTATTCGTGTCACCACCCCCCAAAGTACCTCTTTTCGGGACCACCCCGGTTCTATCCATACACGCGTTACTTTCACAATGGATGTGGACAGTTCTCTGACCTGCTGGCCAATCAGGACTCGTCCGCTTACATTTGCACTGTAACGCCCAGCCGCCATATTTACCGCCCACTCATCGGAAAATCCTTGCTCAATGGACTTATATCGGTCTTCTAAACTACCCTCAATCCTCCAAGATTATAGCATTTGATTTGATTCTCTCAAATCTCACTTTAGCTAACATTTGATCTCACTTTAGCTAACATGTGATTTCCCATTGATGCTAATTAAAAACATGAAATACATGTGTATTTCAAAAAAATATATATCACTTATAATCATTACATTGCAATTAATCAATCATAATTCGAAATAATGTAAAATACTCAAAATTTTCATATAGAACTCACATTTATTTTTATATTATTATTTGTTATAATGGGATAATCGTAAAATTGTAATAAAAAGATTTGTAAATAAAATGTTCTCCTCTAAAGAAGGTAAATCTAAAAGGGTGATAACTTTAGATGTTCTTCATTATCTTTTAGAGTACATCTTATCTAAAAGAATCCATACATTTATGAGTAAAATGCTTCGCTACTAAGATTATCCCTTAGTGCTA